AAGCCAGCCCAGTGACATCACTGGTTGCCAAGAGCTCGGCGGGACACTGGCCAGACTGTTCCAAGTTGCTGGGCGGGGAGATGTGTATAACCATTATAGGGACCGCCCTGGCAGTATCAACCAATAAGGAATAACCCCTAATTACTAATGTTGCTCTACACTAACAGAAGCTGAATTCTGATTGATTGGATTGGTTGGGAGAAACTGTACATTATTGCTCTTTGCATTGACCTCCGTGCCCGAATACCGTCCATGAAAGGGAACCTGAAAACACAATATACAAGACCAACAAACACTGTGAGTAAGTGCACATAATGCACATGTACATGACTTTAGAAGCTCAAAACACTCCAGATGTTTTCCCAATGCACTACAATGTATGGGGGGTCGGGGGGGTGCGAATATACTAAACTAGAACAATGGATTGTCTCAGGCCCATGAAATTCATCTTTGCTGTAGAGTACAACAACCTGTCTGGTGTGTGCAAGACATAAAAGAAGATGGAATGTAAAATAGACTTACTGTTTGTGAGTACCAAGAACTGGTCGCAGCCAATCTGAGCCACCTGTACTCGACCTGAACATGAGCCATCTGATAAGAAAACACAACAGATTATATGAATTAAAGATGAACTGCAGCCTCACCCTCAGTCTTGTATCGTTGTACCAGATCCTCTCCTTTAATAAACATGCACTTTGAGACCTCTAATGATCTACGAAATCTACTAAGCTAGCTAATGTTATTCAATGGGGCCCAGACTCCTTGGCATCTACCATCCCTAAAATGACATTGTTAGAGGTGAGAGCATGGGTAAAAATATTTTATAGAGCTTAACTAAGCTCTCTAGATTGTAAGCTTATATGGCAAGTCTGTTGTCCCTATTGTTACTCGCTGTGGTTTACGAAACAACTGTATATACTTGTCTTTCAACAACTACATGACAGGGAATTATGAGGCTGCATCAAAAATGAATACTACTAATATTAAAAGCACCTGTCCAACTTTGCCTAAAAGTACACCATTCTAAAAGAAATCCAGTGACTGTCTTTGATAACTTCCTTCTGAAAATGCTACAGTTGCTGCCTATGTATTACACTGACTCACTGGCTTCAATACTTTCACAGATTAGAACAAGCATGCAGTAGGCAGACAGTCCTTAGTTCTTAAGAGTCCTTATCTGCAAAAGTATTATGGGTTAGGGCATCAAAGTGATAGAGACCCTTCACCAACTTAAAAACATTGTAGGTAAAAATAGAATATCAAGTATTTTAAATGCTTAATTGCAGCATTTAAACAAAAATGGCAACCACACAATTTATAACTAGCCTTGATAGCAAGGTGTACATGGAAGGGCTTACAACAAAATACGGATGTTTCCCAGCACACTTACCAGCTAGCCTGCAGCAAAACACATTGCACTGTCTAACAATAGGCGTTAAAATCAGAGGTTTTCGTTACACAACTTTCGCAAAATATGTGGAAGTCATACTGGCTCGCCAAGGCTCCTCTGTGTAGTGTGGTCCTAACTGCAATCTTTGAGAGTCTCCATCTTGGATTACATTTAGCAGCAGATAAATTGAATGCAGGTATTCCTGGAGGTTCTCTACTACGCTGGAGGCCCAGAACACTGGAGGCCCAGCACTTCAAAAAGTTCACTGAAGCCATGTGCACCTTGCTATCAAGGCTAGTTATAAATTGTGAGGTTGCCATTTTCGTTTAGCTCGGCTGTATTTGGTGTGAGGACGCACTGGAAGGTTCAGTGTACATTTTGAAGTGCTGGGCCTCCAGTGTCTGTGCTTTTAAGGAGGAGTGGGGCACCTCCAGGCATATCTGCATTCAATGTATCTGCTGCTAAATATGCTCCAATATGAAGAATCTCATAGATTAGAGTTAGGGCCAAACAGTGTAATTTGTTACAGGCTAGCAGGTAAGTGTGCTGGGAATTTTTGTGTTTTGTATTACTTGCAGCATTTTTCCTTTCATTGAATTGCAAAGTGCCCCTGAACTTGCTAGCAAATTTGACTACTCCGGAAAGAGTCCGTTCTCTAGCATAGCCCCTCTCTTCTTGCAGACCATAGCCCTTTCCTCCTCTGGGAGTGTCTAATTATAGTTTGTGCTAGCCCAGCTCCTCCTTCCCTTTTCCATCATGCATAACCTTTTATGTAGCTGTCAGGGCAGAAGCAAAGGTAAATGTATTAGAGTGTCTCTTTTGCCACTTTACACGTAAATAACATGCTTAAAATATGTGAAATGCACATAAAATCTTATCATAAAATTGTGGTTGAAATGAATGGTCTGCATGACAGGGTCTTAATAAAGGCAGCGTGTCTTGCATGACAACCAGCCATCTCATTAGGCCCACTCATTCTGGTTTTCTAATTCACAATTACAAGGTTGGAGGAGCTTATGGGACCAATCAGATTCAGACCGTCAGACCAGATATAATTAAGGGCCTGTGAGTTGCTCTGGAATGTTTTGCTAGGTCTTGCATCAACCACCCAGAAAGCCTATATGCCCATTTCTCACCATTTCCACTGTCTGTAAACCAAGAGCTCATAGAACTGAGGTTGATGGTCTGGAACTGGATCCTGCCATTAGAGGAGGACCCCTTACGAATCCCAATGCAAACAAGAGGGTATTGTTCTCCTGGCACCACCAACATTTCAAATATTCTCAGGGGACAAGGCAGAGGGAATTCAAAATGCTGCAATGAGAAGAAATAACATTTGGTGAGGACATCAAGGTAAAAGGAAGTGTAGGAAAGATAAGAGAAGGAGGTGGTCAAAGTGTTTGTGTAGGCAAAACCAAAAAGAAGGTGACACGATGATGCAGTGAGTCAGTACACAATCCTCCCAGGAAGTGCCAGGAAGCCTCAGTTCTAAACGATTTACTTAGTTGGTTAGATTTTATTTTTTGCTCATGTCCTGTTATGTATCTTAAAGAAGAACTCTGGGCAGAAATGTTACTTACCCTTGAAGTGGAGCAACCCCCACACTGCAAGGGTTAACTGCTCATTTTTGTCGGGTCAAAAAAACAATTATACTCACATGAACCGCTGCAGTGATGGTATGTCCCTCGGCAGCCTCCTGTCCAATATAGACATGATGACTCGAGGACTCCTAGACCGCTGCAGAGGAGGGGGAGAGATGCTAAAGGGGTTGGTCTAAGAGCCAGCCGGCTCGCAAGCTCAGGTGAGTATAGCTTTTCTTTTTTTTTACCCTAGGCAAAAATTTACAGTTAACCTTTGTAGTGCGGGGGTAGCCGCACAGAAGGGTTTAATAAAATTCCTGCCAGAATTCTTTAATGATGGTATTTCACACACAAATTTATAATTGCCGCCTTTATGATCTATTTTACTGCCAGGCAAATGCAATTATCACATCCTTGACCACTCTACAGCCTAAGCAGGCATCCCTGGGCAGACTGATCTTAGAAGTATTGATTGCCAATGATGAATTTTAATGGTTAATAGTTCTTCCAAAATGTCCAAGCCTGCTATAAGAGTAATAAACCGAATGATTAGGTTAGCTGTTGGGATAGGTTCACTTACAAGGAGAAACACGAGCGAGTAAAACATACTCTTCCTAAAGCTTAGTGCCTGCGTGGGACAGTGCTCTGCTCTGCCCTGCGTGGGGGGGGGGGGGGGGGGTGGCGTTGGGGAGGAGGGGAGGGGGGGGGGGGGGGGGGGGGATCCTGTGACCCAAAGGAGAAGTAAAGCCAAAAAAAAGGTTTGGCTTTACTTATTCTTTTAAAAGCAGCTGCCTGCCATGCCTTCCAATAAATAGTACAATACATGTTAAGGAAATAAAATGAAACTGATGAATAAAGATGTAATATTGAATATTGATTGTGTTTTTTTTTAATGTTTGAGATCCAAGAAGAGCTTAGAACAATAGCAAGGTCTAGGATGGTGCACTGGAGTTGGTGACAAGCTTAACATGCCCTGGAGATACAGAAAAACAGAAGATCTCAGATAGCTCACTTACCTTCATCAACATAAACTTTTCAAGTGGTTGATACCATTCCAACAAGTGCACACTGGTCTCCATTGCTACGCACAAGAACCAGCTATCACGTGCACCATCATGAGCTAAGAAGAGAGAGAGAGAGGAAAAAATTGGGGTAAGTACAATGATGTGGCAGTAGGGGAATAGATCATGCCGAAGGAAATTGGGTGACTGGAAACCTGTTTTTTTAACATTTATCCAAACCGTTTCAAAAACAAAAAGTCAATTTATTGGTAGGCTATGACCATAATCTCAAGACACATCTGTTAGATAAACTCTTGACTGGTTGCATATGGTTTCTTGGTTTGATTAGTGGCTATTTTTCTTTGTCCATGCCAAGATAACCTGGTATTGTATATTTGATGCTTGTAGAATGCAAGCAGGCACTTGTGGACATATCTCAGGAGAACATTTTTTTTAGAGTTTTGATTTTCCGTTTCTGTTGTAATGTCTGTGGGTACCATTACATTTTTTGATAAGAAAGGAAATAGGTGAAATCTTACCCACAGTACAACTCTTGCACCCTTTAGTGTCTGGAACCTTGGTGGATGCAGATTTCTTTCTGGAGAAAGGAAGTAAGAACACAACAATGATTGACCTGTCTCTTCCCATTTTCCTGTTTACCAGACGCCTCTACTTTCTTTTTTAGAGGATACACACTAAACTTGTACCATCTGACAATACTGCAACACCGCTTACCATACCCTTCTGCTCTGACAGTTCCTGGGAAGCAGTCCACATTCTGTTGCTTTACTGCTTAGCATGTCTTCCTTCCTCATATAATGTGGGCTAAACTAGCAAGCAAATACAGGACAGCCCACCAGCATAAACGTCCAGAGTCAGACATCTGTGATCTGTCTTCTCATCAACATTGGAGCACAGCAGCAAATGATCACCATGCTGACGTCAGTCACAAAGGTAATTCAAGCGCAACAGAATTTCAGCACCAGCAAATCCTGGCTGGAAAGCTGGAGGGGAGCCACATACTTCAAATAACCAATTTTAACACAATACAACACAACAGTATTCAGGTCCAGATAACTGTTAACTGAAACAAACACACAAGAAATACTAAACAATGTATCCCAAATAATAAATAGTAAACCCAGTGACAAAAGACACACATACTAATTAAAGTTGCCATACACTATAAAATACATTTCTTGTACAGCCCATTTAAACAATGTGATTGGGGAATTCCTCTTCCCGAAACGCTATTTTATTCTGACAGCCTGATTGCAGTCACTATTCAGATGAAAGTTTTCAAACCGGTTCCTTCACCAAAATCAATAGAAAAATTGAGTATGTTGAAGGACATGTCTGAAAATTTTTGGGTGGGTGGATACTGATGGGGCCATACACTGCCCAAATTTAGAGCAGCGTGTGGCCAGTCCTGTATTTTTACATTCCTGTCAGCAAATTGATAACCCAAAGATACTTCAGACCTAGGCAGAACATGATTTAGGTTGAGATGTCCAAAATTATTTTCTTGACCTTCTAGGTCTGGAAACACATATCACTTTCAGAGAATAAAGAAGATGGATGGGCATATTAGAGATTACTCCAAAGAGAAGCATTTTGGATATTCCTTCTTCCAAGACCTGCCCCACAATTTAAATATTATTAGAACATCAGTTAGTTGAAAGCAATGTAAAATCAGAGGGCTGGATTAGTATGTGTGCCTTTTGTTATTATAGTAAGTGATACATTGTTCAGAATTATTTGTAACTATTTGTAAGTACTGGATATTTCATACAGTTAGTTACCATGTATTGTATACGGCTGTATTATTTATGGACTATAATGATGTGCAAGTTATGGACATTAATGTTCTAATTGTTTGTCGCTATGTGGACAAGAGCCTGTTCTCTTAGAGTAATGTTGCTCACCATACCCTCCTACCAAGGCAGTACCTGGGAAGCAGTCTGTGTGTTGGGATGTGAGCCAAACGGGATTCTTTCCGTATCTGTTCATGAAGACCCAGTAGGCTGTGTGAGTACAGCTGGGCAACCTTACCTATGGAAGGACAGATACACACTGAAAGATCATCCCTTAGCCTATAAGTTTACTATTTTGCCAGTTGACATCTCCTTCATCTTACCGGTAATAGACATTAAAACATTGTTGATGGAATAGACCCAAGTTGTCCAGCCAGGGGTCAGCTAGAAAAGATAGAAGAAAACAAAAAAATTAACTTGGCCTATGAGAATTATACTTTCAGGGTTCAGAAGTCGTTGGGCATTGCAATCGACACAAACCTGAAATATCAGTTTGTACAGTGCTTCATTTAAATGCAAAAGTCAGCCTTCAACAATAGCGGCCATCTACAAAAGCCCTTAGAATGTTTCAAAGGATATCCCTTTTTATGGTGTCATAATTTCAAAGATTATAGGTGTACCCAACAGGAATATATTTTTGTTGTAAATAACTGCATTTAGGTCCAGAATTTAGTAGTTCTGCTAATTCAGGACAAGGCTCTTCCTATAGTTCTCGGGAATAGAGCAAAAGTCATCCCCACTAATCAACCCCACAATCTCTATAAAAGGCCTATAAACCTTTACTCAATCCATATAGCAACTGTAAAAAGCAGATAAGCAGCAACAATTTAGAGTGCAAAGGTCTCCATAAAAATACAACCTGCCTGCTTTGAACTTTAATGAATCATTATAGTGATAAGGATGGAGTATGATGGTGTTTAAGTCCTTGGTGTGGATGACTCTCCAACCAAAAACTTTGTTTTAGTGTTGGCTAGAGTGGAACAGGGTTTAGGCTTGTGGTAATGTGTTATCATTGTCTGTGCCCTCTATTTGAAATGTTATTGAAGAAATATTTGTCTAAGTCATGCCAATAGGCTTCCATCTGTTGGCACAAAGCATCTACTAGGAAGTGGATTGGAGTGTGTTTCACTGTGTAACATAGTCCATATACCCAACCCACTCAGATACCGCTACTCCAATGTGGTAACATGGGTGCTACGGTTGTTGGCGGATGGCAATCACCCCGTCATATGAACAAAAGCATGGATACCGACACTCCAATAGCTGATTAAGTACGTATATTTATTAAAGTACGTGCTGCATAGCAAACACTTAATGCAACGTTTCGGGGTCGCAAAGGATCCCCTTCATCAGACAGAAACAAGTGATCACTTGTTTCTGCCTGATGAAGGGGATCCTTTGCGTACTTATAGATGTACTTTATCAGCTATTGGAGTGCCGGTGTCCATGCTCTTGTTCACTGTGTGACATAACTCTCAGGAAGGCATCTATCCATCTATGACCAAGCCCAACTCCAGCAAAATCTTTCATTTTGGATAAAATAAGGAAGGGTTAGAATTCCTGACAGGTTTAAAATACTCAAACACAACAATCTGTAGCACATGGTCTCCAATCACCAGAAAGATATAAAGGGTGCTCGGCCAATGGTTGCACCATCAAATATCCTTGCCCTCAACCACAGGAAGTGGTTGATCTTCCCTCACTTCTTGTCATGTCTGACACATTTCAAATAGACAGGAACTAAGGCAAAACATTTCAACTAGTGAGCATAAACAATAATAACACATTAACACAAGTTCTAACCATGCTCCACGTTATCCAACACCAAATAACTAATTTTGGTTGAAGACTGACTTTATACACGATATTGAGTCTTTTTTGTCCCATGTTAAGCATAAAGGAAAAAAAAAGAAATAAATAATTGTGAGGTGTGCAATAGCCGGATGTCCACTTACCAGGTCGAGAGAAGCCAGTGACTCTGAGAGGTTTAGCGTATAGATCCCCTGCTCAGCTCCCAGTATGACATGCAAATCTGTAGAATACATAATGAAACTTATAGGAGTTGGAGGAAGCATAAGAATGTATTATAGAGAACAGAGAGCGGGTGGCACACCTTTCGTTGTTGGATGTTTCCAGGTTGTTGCAGAGTGGATTTTCAGAGGACATCCATTGAAGATCTTTTTCAGTTGGAACTCTCCCTGATATGAAAGATATGGGGACATTTAAGGAGAACTGTACAAGGCAAGGGCAAGCTCATATCATTAGATGCATGTGACTGATGTGGATGTGTGACACCTGCTTTGGTTTTTGGTATTTTGGTTAAAGTAGAACTGAAGCATTTTTTAAGTTTTAGTGAGAGTAAGGGAGAGTTATAGCCCCTGACACCTTTTGTGCCACCTGTGTCCTATTGGGGAGATATCTCTTAATTTCCTGTCTGATAGCCACAGCAGGAATTGTGTAATTTTCTTTCACTTTCACATTCAGTGATAAAGGACACCAGGACAAATAGAGAAAATTAATCTCCATAACAGACACAGACAGCAATAACCTGACAGGTGTTCTAATCCATCTCCACTATATCCAAACCTTAAAAGGTTTCTTCCACCTTTGGAATACAGAACCCCCTGTGTTCTGGTGATGAGGAGAGAGAAGGTGTTTTGCAGTTGCACCACACTTCCAATCCTGCTCCTGTAAGTAAGCCTTGTCATCCTAGGAACAGAAAGTATGTTACTTCACCAGGTGAAAATAAAGACCTCTACACCTATGGACTAGTAAGCTGCAATACATTATATTTTTGTTGTTAGGTTTAGATACACTTTAAGGTGCATGCTCCTCATTATTACCATCACAGGTTTACTTTATGTTCATGTTTAACTGTGAAACAAGGTTGTTAAAATTAAATATGTTCTCTTTGGAAGTTAGGAGATTAAGGGGGGACATGATCTTCTTGTATAAACTGTTCAATGGTGACTGCAACATTATTAACAAACTCTTTACGGTCCATAACTCCATAACAAAGACCAGAGGGCAACACCAAAAATTGGTGGAAAAAAATGTCAACACAAGGGGCACAAGGGGTTCTTCACAGTTAGAGCGATTAGGGTCTGGAACTCACTGCTGCAGGAAGTGATCTCAGCTAAGAGTGTGGAATCATTCAAGAAACTCTTGGACGAGTTCCTCGGAGACTATAACATACAGGGGTACAGGTACTCCTAAGAGCAAAATCATACATGGACTCATACACACGCACACACCAGCTCAAACATAAATGCATACATGCAATAGCGCAATAGGTTGGGCTTGATGGAGTGTATTTTTAGACAAGTATACTACTGACAGGAGAGCGAGCTGCTGTGCATGTGACTCATGGATTATTTTAGGTGCTGTGGCCCAATCAGTGTATCTGAGCTCACATCCAGGAAACCAATGCCTTTGGCATTTAAACATACCACATCCATCCAGAGCATTCAAAGCACTCAGTCCATGCAGGGCAGCTGGAGATGTGTCACTGTATTAGGCTTGGCTTAGACAGGAACCTTGTCAGATGTAAAATGCCTACCTGTTTTGCTTGGGTTGTTTGTTGCTTTGGTGGTAAAGAAGGGGGAGATGCACAGAGGAAATCACGTAGCAAGAGGGATGGTTCTGATGAAAGGAAAATAGACAATGTTGGAGATTTGTAGTCAGGAGCACAACTGAGAGACAGGAGACAGCAGTGACATGGAGGTCAGCAAGAGGAACCAGTGAATGCTGCAGGGGACACCCAGGAGATTGACACTCCTGGAATTGTCAATTTCCCAGCTGACTTTGGGGGACCATATCTCATGAACAAAATGGAGTTCAGTGGCACCAGCAGTTGGAAAGTTAAGGAGAATTATTAAAATAAATACTCTTCCCAATACTTAGAGAAGGTGTGGGACAATGCAGCACTCACACGCTGCTGCCATAGATTGAGAGCTGAGTCAGTCACCACTCCCCACAGTGATTCCTTCCCTCTCTGTTCCTCCAGCGCTCATTGGAGGGACAGACAGGAAAAGGGGGTGTGCACAGCTGGCTCTGGATCTAGAGAGGCAGAGCCAGCTGTCAATCAGGCAGCAGGGTGGATCCCAACAATATTGTATATCCTGACATTATTTTGGATTCCTACAATATAGCGGGCATTTAAAAATATACTCCTGTGACCCAAAAGAGAGCTAAAGCCAAAAAAGGTTTGTCTTGAGTTCTTTTTTATGTATTCTCTCTCTTTACAGGCTCTTTACAGGTACATACTCTTTACAGGTACTTACTGTACGTATTTGCTTCATACACTTTACTAAAATGACAGGGTTGCTTTAAAGCAGACCTTTACCCCCTTTCACTAAAAATCACCTCAGCATGCAGCTCTGAATGCTGATATGAAATCATCTTACATTCATTAGTTAAACAAACATATCTTTCTTTTATTTACAATTATTTTTTAAATTCCTGGTCCTCTTGGGCATTAGTGATGTAATGTGCCCAAGCATTGCATCCTGGGAAGATAACATCAGCAGAACATTGCTGGGAAATCTCATCTGTAATCTCACGAGATCTCGGGGAAAGGCATTTTCCTCCCCTGAGATGATGTGCATGCTCACATGTCCTAGTCACATGTGCCAGAGTTCCAGGAAGTAAAGGGAGATAGGTTGGGGAATGTGAGAATGTCTCATGATACACCATACATGGTGTATTTTCTGGTATTTTCTGTATTTGCTAAAAATGTTCTAAGCCTGAAATGAATGCAGCCACCACGTCTAAGGGCCAGTATGCTGCATATGTTACATTTTTGTTCTTGGCTTTAGGTATTCTTTAAATCCTGTATGGTGTTACAGAATCGTCTTCCATGTACTCCAACTATTTTCCAAGGGCACTGGTGCAGCAGAAGCAGCCTTGAACTACTCACCAGAGCTAGCAGCTGGCAACTGTTTCCGTAAACTTTCCTGATAGGTCTGTGTTGCATTTCTGTGTGCGCAGGGTCCACTGGAACATCGTACCAAAGTGCTAGGAGTGTGCAGGCGGTCCTGCTCCCTTTTTACATCAGCAGAGGAGGTGCGAAATCTGGGCTGCAGAGGCAAAGCAGACAGAATGAATGAGACAAGGGACATGGGTTCTGCATGTAGAATAAATTCACAGCTATGTGCGGCACTACCTTAGGGGGGAGCGGAGGAGGAGACTCATCAGCATATATGTCACTATGGAGGTCCACACAGCCAGGTCTTGGGGAAAAAATAAGTTCATTTAAAATTGATAATCATTATAACAGTAAATGCAAATCATACTCACGAATTAATACAATGAGCAAAAAACTTAACCACTCATTATGTCCAACATGAAAGGTTACATTATATGTATTAAAGTGAAGCTGAACTAAAAAAAAAAAGTGCAGATTTGCGATGCTATAAGGATCATTTGGAGATGATTTCCGTCTCAGTTGTACCCTGAAAAACTACCCTTTGTTTGGAATTCCTCCTGAAAAATAGTTGTGCATTTCCTGGTATGCGAGGGTGCCTAGGCATTCCTTTACCTACAGCCTCATAATTGTATATCTGCAGTGTGAGATCTAGGGCACTGTTGCCTCTGACTGCCACTCTCAAGAGATTTGGAGTGAGGTTTGGTGGTATGGTTACTGTTCTCTTTGCTGGAGGATCTGAAGTGAGGAAGCAAAGCCCTGCCTCGACCAAGATGGCCGTCCATACACAAAGACAGAGTGCAGAAAAAGCATGGTAAGCTCTTCCATGCTCCGACGCCCGCCCCCGCTTCACCATCATCTGGCCTTACTCGATGGGAACACCTGTGTATTCTAACCGCAAAGAAAACCATCCTGACTAATTGGATATCTGCCCTGCGCCCATCTCTCTCTGCATTCAAATCTATATTACACTACCTCATGCTCCTAGATAGACATGTGCACTGCCAAAAAATTCGTTTAGTTTCGTTTCGTTTTAAATTCGGATTTGTGTTATTTCGTTTTTCGGGATTCGGGTGTGAAAGTCAATTCGGATTCGGAATTCGGATTCGGACGAAATTCGGTAGCGGTAGGTCGAACGTTCGTTTCGTTTTCTGTTCTTATTCGTTTCGTATTCGTTTCTTATTCGTTTCGTTCGTTCGTGACATTTGAGGGGGGAAAAATATTTTTCTCCTTCTCTAATGTCACTTTGCTCCAACGAACGAAACGAATAAGAAACGAATAAGAACAGAAAACGAAACGAACGTTCAAACTACCGCTACTGAATTTCGGAAATGGAAATTCGGATTCGTTTGCATTCGTTATGTCTGTAATTCGGAATTTAGATACATCCGAACGTCTGAATTTCCGAAAATTCGTCCGAATTTCGATTCGGAACGAAACGAATCGCACATGTCTACTCCTAGATAAACTGGATACAAAATTTAACCAATCTCATACATACAGTTATTTTTCTGTATGTGGAAACCTTTTTTGAAATCCGAACTGCCCGTGAACCAATCACGTGATATTATGACTACCTTTCAGCACTCTACATGGTATCTCACAGAAAAGCTATGTGGCTCCCTGGGACCCCTAGATGTCCTTTAACATTCCCCGCTACACCTTAGCTCTCACATGAACCATTTATCCCATGAACCCTGACACTCACCCTTGGTAGCTCCGTACATTGAGCACTACATGGCCCTAACTGTAAACTCATTAAACCGGTCATTTCTTCTATTAAGTTTTCTTAATCAAAACTCTATTGTGCTAGGAAGTCCCAGCCCAAAATGCTCCCCAAGCCCTTTCCTCGACAAACCCCTGTGCTTCTATTCCTTTGATTCAAACGGTTCAATTAATTTTCGATGCTTGACATATCTACTTTACTGACTGTTACTCTGTATCGTATGCATCTTCTGGTTCATGCACGTACAATGATGTAACCTCATTTACTACTTTTACTACTCTGTATCCTTGAGTAATACAGCTTGTTTGTACCATTCTATTCCTTGTTATGACTCAATACAAATTTATATGCTGAAAAAAAAATGCATGGTAAGTCAGTAATTGGGAAAATCAGCTGCATAGGCAATTCTGGTGACTAGACCTTTGTCCTCTGCCTGGTTTTTGGCTTTTTCTGGGTACAGCTTCCAAGACTCAGTTACTCTTTAACCAACTGAGGACTGATAACATGTATAGCTACTCATTCAAAAGCATCAGTACGTCAGTTGTTTGCTGTGCGGCATGCTGAGCCAATCAGGGGGTTAATCCACGACTCTATGTTGTTGTTTTTTTATTGTCCTATTGGTAGTCACAAAGATCAGCATTAGCCATGACCTACTACAGGAGGTTTACAAGGCATGGGTCAGCTCTGCTATCATACTCATCACTTGTTGCATACTTACATATCAACATCGTCATAGTCGTCATCATCATCATCTTCATCATCAGAGCAGAAGCTGAAATATGAAAGTCGGTATTTACCTGGGTGAAATATGAGCCTTTTCTTCTTGCTAAATAGACACTTTAATGTATTTTAAAGAAAACATACATAGGAGCCAGTAAAGCAGTGCAACCACAATCAGTGGATCGTGGGTAGAATAATCTCATCTCAACATAACTGCCCTTTTACTTCTTCCAATAAATCAATCTAAACAATTATTACCTTTTGTATCACTTGGCCCTCCTACTAGATTGTAAGCTCTCACGGGCAGGGCCCTCCTAACCCTTGTACTGAAATTGTATTGTATTGTAAATTGTATTGTAGCTGTACTGTCTCCTACATTGTGTAAAGCACTGTGCAAGTTGTTGGCGCTACCGAAATCCTGTATTATAATAATAATAATAATAATAATAGTTCCTGCAGATTCTCCCTCCCGTCCATGCCCATACAACAGTACGGATATTCAGTAACATGGACTGGAGGAGGAATAAATTGACTACAAGTGCGATGACATGGTATTCCATTGAGAACTACAAGCCTTCAGGTTGAAGAACCCTAAGGTTCAGGTAAGTGGGAGCAGGGTGGAATATGGGTGTAACATGAAACATGGTCAGAAAAGTAAACTTGGCACTTAAAAGGAAATCAATGATAAAAGGAATATGGGGACTGCCACCCCTGGCCTCTACTTCTGGATATCCTAGTTATCTGTCTGCCATGCTGATCCTCCTATTTAACACTTTCTGAGTCATTGACACAGAACAGCTATTCTGATCAGGAGCTTTGCCTTTACTTACTGCATGTTTGTTTTTCAACAATACTTTTTTTTTTACTATAATACTTTGGAAAATAATATTGTGCTGCCACAGCCGCTGCCATTTTCTGTTGTTTCTGTTGCACTGGTATATTTTCATTGCTTCTCATCATGTTATATATGCTTCTGACCACTAGTGGTGGATGAGCGTTCGTGCGGCTTAATTTCTGCATACATTGGCATGTTCCGTTTTCCTTACTGTTTTTTGTATATTAGTAGAGTCATATAGTTAGAGACTCCCAGCCTCTCCTTCTCAGTTTCTTTAGACGTCCTCACTCACCGTTTAAGAGGGTTCTACATATTCTGTTATAAGGCTTCAGATAGAAATGTCTTTCCACCCCTGAGAATGACAAGGAAATCACATCCTCTGTATCGGGAAGCCTTTATAAACTACACTAGATTCTATTCTGTACTCAACCTAACAATAAAACCATTATTGCTATATGTTACTACTGAGAAGATGATACGTTTAGCTATGCAAACCTTCGTTGACAATGTGATATCTCCATTGTTCATTGCATTGCTGTATTGTCTTGTTGGCAGCAAGTTACATGCAAGCACACACACATACGACAAGTATACAAAAATAATGCCTACACTGTATATAGTTTTGTCTGTATTCTAAGTCCCCTGGAACAGAAAAAAATATGACCTCTCCTCACTTACCTGATATATGGGGTTGGGCTTTGAGGTGCCTGAGGACTTAATTCTCGGTCAGCCTTAAAGACAAAAGAAATATACCTGAAATCAAGAGTCTCTTTAGCGTTCAGAAAAGGTAAATGCCCCAAGATACTGATGTTAGCTTTCCTATTCCAGTCTGCATTAAAGCTGAAAGAGCAAACTTGTTCTATGTTGTGTGTGAACATTGATGGGCTGGATAACACATTGGCCTCCTATATTTTGGGGGGAAAGATTTACCAATTTAAAGGAACTTACGCCACTGCCCTGGTGCTGGTCCGGCTGGTTTCCCACCAATATATCACTTAATTTCCCAAGAAAGAATTGAGCAACATGAAACATGTAAAAGTATTTGCTGTGAATAAAGATTTCCTGCATCTCTGTTGTGCAGTATTCCTTTCTTGTGAAATCATAAAAAAGATCGTCCTCTACCATGTGAAAGAGTTGCAAACCTAAGGCCCCATTCACATTGCTCACACAGGGCTTGGAGAACAAATTGCCTGGGAGCTAAGTGGCGTAAAAAATTTGGATTTGAACTGTTTGGGATATATTGAGTGCTTGATTTTTTGAATACTTGTTGTCTCCCTTCCTTTTTAGACCCTTTTTTAGTATTTAAAAACTCTTTTTCCTTTTCTGTCAGTTTTTTTTAAACTGTTCCCTTTTTACCTAAGAATGGTCAATTCAATAGGCAAGCAGAGAAGGGGCCACTCATAAGGCAAGGCTGCTACACAAAGACATTTTTGGCATAACTAAATTACAATCTCATGATATTTGAAGCCAGAATGATTATATAAACAGTGTTCTAGAGACCAGTGTTGTTGTAGAAAAAAACTGGTTGGAACGTTCCATCTGAGATAAATCATAGACATACGGAGGCAAGTTGGCCCCGTCTGCTGTAATGTTTGAGAACCATTCATTACACTACAGGCACTGAACCCCCAGATTTTTCCATGTATGGCCAATCTGAGAGCATCAAGCTAAACACTGAATAGAAAGTATCTCGAGCCCTACTCCACAAATCTGCAATGCACAAGTAGACAGAAACACTCTACAGGCTGTCCTCCTTTGTTGCATTTTGCCCCCCTAGTAGAACCTAAACGTAGAGTCTCTCTGTATGATTTAGATCCCTTTAGGGGGTGACATCAGAGGGAGGAAGCCTGCGGAGTGTTCCTGTCCACTTGTGCTTATTAACAATGTGGAAGCATTACAGATTTGTGGAGTACGGCTCAAAATTATTTATTTTAACTGGCATTTGGAGCTAAGGGAGCCAGGAGGAAGCTTGCACATGCAGTTGGTTTCGCTAAGATGCCTGGTGGGATGGTAGAGAAGCCTTGGAGGGGGAATTCTGTGTAAACACTGAATAAATGAGTGTCTTTAGTTCAGAACATCATATGATGTACTTCTTGAACTGCAACCTACTATATTCCCCAGTGAACAATATGAGAAGTATTGGGAACAGAGGTTAAATCTACACCTCATAACCTCACGGAATGGGGAACACTCATATCTGAACCCGATGTAGTTGCGCCAGAGTATATATAACATCCTCCCTGAGAAAAAGCAAACATTATATTATCCAATGTTATAAAACCTCCCAGAAAACATTGAAGGACTTGGGTTAGCATAGTTAATTACCCTTGCTAATCTTGGCTCTTCCTTTTGCGTCTTGTTCTTTATTTGGTGGACTAAGGGGTAAAAAGTAAAAAAATCAGCAGAAATTACAAACACACTTCCCCTACCCATCTGTGACCACTGCTACTCACATTGAATGTCTGAGGATGAGCGGCTGGCTTTGGGGTTGCGTTTTTTGGAGAGGATGCGAGAGAACGCTGAGAAGAGCTGTGAGACATCAAATATTTGTTAACTGGATAGTGATAAAAGTGGCAGAATTTTAAGTAACTGTGCTATACAGTTTTGCTCAAGCAAATGATCCACAAAACAATATTTCAGTTTTTGTTAGTCATTGGAGATTTCAAGCATCAGCTGGCGTCGCCTTTTAGGAAGTCAAGGGGCAAGGTTTCACAGGTGTGGCTCCCATACCTGCTCCCCCTGCCTTGGATTTAAACCAAATGCCTTAAAAATACAGAGAGGAGGACTCCTTCATACTCCCTCATACTTGCCATAGCAACTGTGAAGAACTTCAAACTTAGGCATAGATATCTTTTCAAGGATGTCCCAAAGACAACAGAAGAACCAGACAACAGATGTTCCATCTTACCACTATCGTTAAAGCTACTATGAAGACTAAAAATGATCAAACAAAACACTAAACCATGGGTTTTTTAATATTATTTTAATTCTATATTCATGCTAATGCAGAATGCCACTGGAAACCTCCAAAAAGCCTATGAAATACTCACTTCCTGTTTATCACTCATGAGGCTTGCCAACCACTTGTATCTTGCACAGTATTGTTCACTTTATTCCTATGCAACCTACTAAATGGTCTGAGAATTATGTAGTGGACAGTATGAGGTGTATGAAAGACTTATTAACGTAGAAAAGTCTACCAGTGTCGGGCCAGCCTCAGCAAATCTCTAGAGTAGTGTATAGGTTACAGAGCACATCTGTGCATAAAAACAGTTGGGGTCCTTTAATACTTGTCATTGTTGCTTCAAAAATGTGCATGCTCTCTCATCATGGTTTTACCTGGCCAAATCACAGGGTGACTTCAGTATGGTGCACCAAACTACATAGCTGCCTGTTTGCCTTTGTTTCCCATCTCACTGGTCACTATAACAATAACTCCACCTGCGGCCCCATGGGCATCACCAGCACCAATGACATCACATAACATGAAATTACTAAAGTCTCCGCTTGACACAAAATCATGTCACAGTTCTGTAAATTAATCACTGTTCATTGGGTTTGGTGCCTCTTGAAAGATGCTTAGATGATAAGTAAAAGCAGTAAAAGGGTGTGCTACATTCATCCTGCACTCCCTTCACTGTTCTTCCTACATGCCCCTGGTCCCTTAGGGTCTGAGGCTGTACAGAAAGTATGGTAGTAGCTAGATACACCTTACTGATAGATAATAAACACACATTTAGGAATGACATCCCTGGATTACAGGAGCTCACACACCATGTCACAGTAATTCCATAATAAGACCTCACCTCAGTGTCATCCTCTTCAGGGGTTGAGTTATCACTGTGTTTTTCTGGGTTCCTTAACTTTTCCAGTAATTCTTGTGTAAGAGAAGGACCAAGTTCTGCCTGAGCAACAAATTGGTGCTGTGCAGAGTCAAAAGAAAATATTACAAAAAAAGAATACAGAAAAAGAACAAAAAACAAAGGCCAAGTCACATAAAAGTTTATGAAGCACAAATGTTTGTAGGCGGAAGGTAACCTCATAGTTGATAAAGGGTTCATGTATTGTATGTGGAAAAAAACATGTTGGCCAAAGGATCACTGATTAGAAAAATATAGAAACTGATTGGTATGGGCAACAGGAACCTTTTTTTTTTATTTGTCTAGTTTATACTGTACAACAGCATACCGTAGACACATAGAATTGTGTCAACAAATGGAGCACCCGGCCTCCAAATTATCTTTGTTGGCCAGAGTAGTCAATCAAGTTTTTTTCAAAGCTGCAGGACAGACCAGTAACTGAAAGTTAGAAAATGATATGCTGATGAGGGCAACAGATTCATGTTTCTTTTAGCTATTGCATCAACCAAAGCTTACAGAAGCCACGAAGTATGAGGGAAACATCAGGCCACTAGCCTACATCCCAAAATTTATATAGTTAGGTCCCCAATGCCACAACTATTTCTTTATTGCAGGTATTTATATACAGCTGACAATTTACACAGCACTTTACATAGTGCACATTCCTGTCAGTCCCTGCCTTCAAGGAGCCTACAATCCAAGGTCCCTACTGTACATTTAAACAGGAGCCAATTAACCTCCCAGCATGTCTTTGGAGTGTGGGAGGAAACCCACACAAGCACAGGGAGAACATTCAAACTCCTTGCGGATTGAAAATCTGCTACCATAAATCCTGTGAGACACTGCACACGAAGCAGCGTGGACCTTTGTGTGCAGTGTGTCATGTCATTTTCACTCCAGCACGTCAGCTTGCGAGAGCTCCCATAGCTGAACGTGCCGAGATGAAAAAATTCATCTCAAGCTAACCGGCTCGCGCGTATAAACCCACGCGTCAAGATGCGATTCAGTTGTAACATGCGAGCTGATTGGCAGAAGAAGCAGTCTTTCATCTGGCCTCGCTCAGCTCACACACTGCATGCAAATGTCCGTGCCTCACAGTTTTGCTTTGCTCCGCATGGCTTCGCATGCAGTGTGTCACGTGCTTAGGTTTTAACTCCTTAAAAGAGAACTAAGGGGTAAGTGTTTTTCCCCATAGTTCTCTTTAGGGTCACGGGAGGACATATACTAACCTCCTCCCGTGACCCAAAGCTCAGTATATGGCGTGCTATTGCCCGTCATATACTGAGAGAGCCGCAGCCGGGACGGATCCCGACAATACTGTCGAGATCCACCCAGCTGGCTGATTGACAGCGGGCCCTGCCTATCTAGAGGCAGAGCCAGCTGTGCCCGTCCCCTCCTCGGTTCATTCTTACACTCAGCACTGGAGAATTGGAGAGGGGAGGGATGAAAAGAGGACATGAAAATGAAACATTCACTACCTACTCAAAGCTGGACCATGCAAGTCATTCCCCAATCCCCATACTATTCCAATATCTGAGCAAAAATACAATATTTTTTTCCTCTTCCCTTTTTTAACTGCACAGCAAGACACTGTCAACAGTGTCAAGTGAAGGACTGAGATTTTTTTTCTTTGTCGTGGTTCAGTCTGGTAAGACAAGCTGAAATATATAGTTTTCTGAAGGTTCAGTGGTCACCAGTAACTACTACTTGCCAAAGAAAGCCCACATATAGAAGCTATACACCGGAGTCCACCCCCAACTTCAAGTTTTTAATCCACAAGGCAAAGAATATCCAGTCCGCTGATACTCCCTGTCTAGGGGGGCACCCATTCTAATGCATTTCACCCATTAAGGGCTGAGACGTAATAATGTATATGATTAAGCCCTTAGCGGGTGAAGTGCATTAGAACAGGTGTACTCTAAACGGGGAGTCTCGGCAGACTGGATATTGTTTGCCTTGTGGATTAAAAATTCGTTTTTGTTGGTGGACTCCAGTGTGTGACCTCTTTCTTTGGGCTATTGTGCTGGAGTGTGGACGGCTCCCAGTCTGCACCCATACATGCCTGGGTGCTGTAGGCTTGGTGTTGGATGGAGCAGTGAAATTCCTCTTCATTTGAGTTCTATTTTTATGTTTCAGCACTTTCATTCAATGCAAAGAGATTTGAAAATGCATTTACAAAACTTACTTCCTGTACAGAGAACCCTAGAGGACTTACTGTCAGCATCTTGGAGGCGCTTGGTCTCTTCTTAGGGTTTTTAGTTAATGACGCTTTGATAAAGTTGTGGAAAGCTGAGGACCTAAACGGATATAATCAAAGAGGAGAACCCACAATTACATACAGGCACGTGTTTATCTTTTGACAAAACTGCAGCATTTTGACACAGAAGAAACTGTGTACTTCATAGGTCATTATTAAAGCTGGACTCCATGAAAACACCCAGATACTCAGATGAAATACATATATGGGATATGTCTGACTCACTAGAAGATTTGTATTTCTATGCATTCATTGCTGAGATTTACACCCCTTTCCCACAGGAACCTGTCAGCTCTGATTATTTGGGGATCTGTGAGTGGATCCCCTGATGATCAGAGCAGTTCAGAATGAATGTAACCATTGCAATGGAAGAAAATGAATGAAATGAACTTAGCAGATCCATGTTAGGTCTATGGGGATTCAGATGTAAATGAACATGTATTCGTTTATACAGTATCAGATTACCCCTGATCTGCCATTAACTCTGTTCCATTTGGTTTCCGGACTTTTTCGGGGATAATTGGATTTAAATGGATGAACATCTGTTTAGATCAGGTTGCCCATAAACAGTGGGCTTCTGATCAGATCTGCCTGAAAAACCGACAGGCGGACCTGATCGGAATGCCAGTCTGAAAGCGGGAATACAAAGCTCTGCCAGAAAGAACAGCCAGGTGGATGAGATCACTTTCCCTGTTACCATTTAGGAATATAGTGGTGTCATCTTTGGACAATATGGGAGGAGACTGATTCGGTTATCTTTCTGCTCTTTCTGCTTTCTACTTCCGTTTAGTTGTTCCTTAGCACATTTGCATGCAGCACATATGATTGCCTCCCAATGCTGACCCTCCCTGTCTGAGTGTTGCTGTACAGTGGATTAAATGGAGGCAGAAATCAAGTTAAAGCAGTATTAACCTCTCAAACTTGTTTTCAATAATGAACTCAGATCAAACAAATATACATTGCCCTCTACATTTTTGCCCAAGCATGTACAGTCATCATGTTTTACAACAGCTGGCTCCAACTCTCTCAGCTCTACTTCCCTGAAATTGCTGTCCAGTAAAAGATCACAAAGGAGAGAAGTCTCTAGTAGATGCACATCTACTTGCTTTGAGTAAGGAAGAGGGGGTAAAGGAGGAGCGGGGAGCGGGAATGAGTGGAGTGGATTGCTTCACTCTGCCTATGTGTTTGTTTGTAGAGATACACACAGCTTACTAGCACACACAAGCCTGGCTCCATAGGACCCTGCAAGCGAAAGGAGTCGCCATAAAAAAGGATATCAGGGACAATGCTCAGGGGACCAACTGATTCTGCAGGAAACTGAAACTTGTAAACATCAAAGAGCAGCATCCATTGTAAGCGATTTAATCAGCATTTGAAATAGCTTAAAACCCTTTTGCCTTTAATATCACTTTAAGGGCTAGTTGCATTTAAAAAATATACAGCGAATTATTTATTTATGAATACAGAGCAGCATTGATATGTATCTTTGATATCTGCCTGGAGTTTTGCTTTAATACTCACCATTTTGACTTGTCCTTCAGTTTGGGGGGCTGATAACCACCTTTAGACATCAGAAAGAGAACCCTGGATAGAGAGAGGAGGACAAAAATGAGAAATGGAAGCAGAGACCATCTAGAAACTAATTAGGGAAGGGGTGGAGACCAAAAGCACAATCAGGCTAAATGATAAAACTATAAGGGAAAAGAATCTTTGAGGCAAAATAAAAGCGAAACCATATGTCCTGTGCATATTGAAAGGGCCAAAGGAGCAAACTGTCTCAACAGCAACAATCTCTGTTCTATATATACTCAGTGCTACTATCCAAAAACTTGTGGTACGTGTTTAGCTGAAAAGAGAGTTATTAAAATAAGTAAATAGAAAAGGGAACTGCTCTTATGTCTTAAAACAGATCCATCTAAATTTTGCAGCAATATGGATCACTGTCGCAAAGTGTGGCAGCAGCAGTTTGCAAATCCGATTGGTGATGCAATCTGGTGATTACTCCCATGTTCATACAGCCCTGGTAACATATGAGGCAATGATTTACAGTTTACATAGAAGCCTTTACATCACCAATATAATTCCTACTGCACACATACAAGCCCATATACTCACACATTCTCTATAGAACCAATTTGGTCAGATGCCAAATGTTAGGCATTTTTTTGACTGTGGCAGCAAGCTGGAGAGCCAAAAAACCCCCATAAAAATAAAAAAGAGGAACATAAAGACTGCATGCAGATAGTGTCCCAGTGGGAGTGGTATAATCCCAGTAGTATTTGTACCCGGACAACAGAGCTGCAAGAAAAAGCATGTTAAACACAGTTCTGAGTTGTCCATAAATTTAGGAGGATTTATTGCACGTAGCCATTAAAATGTTTGTACATTCTAAGCAACATGCAGGATACACATGGAAGAACTATATTTGTGAGGACCTGTATCAGTTCTAATGAAGGTTTTTGTTGGCATAAGAACAGGTTCTCTCCCCATACAAGTCAATGAGAATGCAAAAGCAGCTTAAGGACCAGTGTCAACAGGCTTTGACCTTATGTCTATGGTGTCACTTTAACATCAGTTTGAGAAGCTTCTGAAATCATTCAGAATGCATGGACAGGTGCATTTAACCTGCAGTTGACCTCTGTCTGACTTGCAAATGACCTGCATCAAGGGGGTTGTGTGTACCCTTAGACTTCTATGGGAGTGAAAATCCGGTTTGATGCAAACAAAAGCCCATCAACACAGGCCCGGTTGATGTAGCTTAGAAGAAGGTAAATGTAGGTCCAAAGAAGGTTGACTGCAGGTCAAATTAACTTGTCAGTGAATTCCAACGTACAATAATCAGACACATACGACATTTACCTTTTTTAAATCTATTGTGCTCTGTTCCACTTCTGTCCATGCTCTGGTCTTTCATCTAGCCATCTACAAAGCTGCCAGCTTTTATGAGCGACACCAAGCAACTTATGGTGTTGCTCAGCTGCCCTCACACTCTCCACGTCCTTTGATTGACAGGATAAGGGCAAAAAGAATGCATCTTTGCATAGTTTGCCAGTCAGGCTCTGCAAAGCGGGTCTGTTGGTGATGGGAATTCTTTCCAGGCAAAGACTATGATGTCATATGCCCGCCTACCGCTTTCCGAGTGCAATGAAAATCTGGCCGCGGGCTCAAATACAGACTGTTGAAGAAAGATAAGGGCACCATCCTATATATAGAATGTGTGGGTGTGTTGTTTTCACTTGTCTGTGTATACTGATACTTTTCATTTGATTTGTTGACTGCGGCAGTGTATTTCCATTTTAATGATCTCAGAAGCGTCCCACCTACAGAATGGACTAAAACACATAGTTTAGATGTCTCGGAGAATTGGTTGGCTGGTTGGTCAGTTCACCATGCTCGGTCCTTTTTCTTGAACAAAGTTATAAATGGAACATATTCCAGTAGGGGGCAGAGAGATAAAAATTAACAATAAACTAAAAAGGATCTGGTTATTCAAGGACTCATCAGCTGCAATGTATTATACCTTGGTTCTTGGTTTTAGATATAATTTAACAGTTTCTACAATTAATCTTATGAGATTTGTTATTTTTCAAGCAGTTTGTATGTTTACCTTAAGGGGTGCACGTGAAACATGGGGGGCTGCAGTTCAGTTAGCTCAATGGCTGTAATTCCAAGAGACCAAACATCACACAGCTCTGTGTATCCCCCCTTCAGCTCCACTGCAGCCACTTCTGGAGCCATCCTGAAAAATTGAAAAAATATTGTTAGAGGAGGCATGTTTCTTCTTTTTATTAAACCTAAATTAGAAATAAATTCTGTGGTTTTACCGTTCATATACTTTCAGCCTGGTTAGTCATGAGCTATTTAGTTTTGATTCCTACAGATTAGTCATAACCAATTATGATGCTCTTGTAAAGGACACTTAAAAATGCAATTATCAAGACTGAATAGACGCCTTGTTCAACAGGCTCGTCTTGATGCTCTGCTTTCAAAATCCCCCAGGCACTCTAGCTTGGTAAGCAAGTTTGCATATTATAAATAAGCAAGGAACAGAGAAATGACACTGTCCAAAGTGCAGTAATCCATGGTAACCAATAAGATTTCCCTTCATCAGGTTAGAACTTGCAGAACAGTCTGATTACTTTTAATTAATTCCAAAACACATTACCAGTAAGGTGTCCCAATGAAGGAGTTTCTCCGGGCAAAGGTTGCTGTGAGCTGAGCCGAAATTCCAAAATCAGCTGCAAAAATAATACATTAATTGTTAAATTACAGGTGTCTCTATTGGAAGATTTGGAACAGGTTTCCCCATTGGGAGATTGCCCTCTGACCTTCTGTTCCATTTAGAATTGTAACATTTTGGATTTCCCATAACTTTCTGTTCAGGTGAAAAACAGTCACCAAGACAAAAAAGGTGAATCTCTCCAGTAGGACCCAGGCAAAGACACCAACAAAACCTGTCTGTGAGACATTTTTCCTGCATTCAATAAAATTAACTTCTGGACTTTACTTACCAACCACCAGTCTACACAAGACACATACCAACCATTGGCCATTGCTTGTTGGAACAGTCTAAAATTAAAACCTATTCTTTTTTTTATTATATACATGAAACAAGATCCAGCACCCCACACCTCCTAGCTACTGTAGCAACAAAATCTTAACAGAGGTTTTAACATTATCACACTCTACCACTGTGTTTACCCCACTGTGGTCTTTACGCACTTCTGTCAATCTCTTTAAGACCAGATAATTGTGGTATAACATCAAAGTCCATGACTATTCTTTTTATTGCACCAAATGTTTCTTCTGTAGTTCTTTCTCATTTGGACAATTGGCCTTTCATGAAGAGCTGGTAAAACCTATAGAGCTAGTAATCAGCTATATGCACTCACCTAGTTTAACATCTCCAGTGTCATTTAGAAGAATATTGGCTCCCTAAAAAAATTAGTAACAAAATCACTTAGTACTATATTCTATGACTGCTGATGTAAAAGTAAACATAGACAGGTACATTATAAAGAGATCTAGCAATCAACTGAACTGCAGAAATATCTGCAGAAGATAACAATTATTTTACCACTCACAAACACACTCTTACCCCTAACTATGTGTATGGACAGCCTTAGCGGTATTTTATTGTTTGATATATGTACAGTATTTACATTTAATATATACCACAAACAATACTGAGGATTAGCCAAGCACCAATGATTCATGGCTTGCGTTATGATTATAGAAAGATGACCAGTCAAGAATGAGCATTTGTTAGAAATTGTATGGGATGTTTGTGGACGTCATTGGAAGCAATTAAGGTTGTGGCATTATTGCCTGGATGAAGGATCCAATAGTAAAGATTTTCTATCAGGTTGCCTCGAGCATGTCACACAGTAAAGATTTTGGAAGAGCAGGGACAGGTAAGTGCTCGACTCTCAGGTGCAATTCCATGAAAAGTATACTTGCTCTTTATGTATGTGGTTATTTAGCTGTATTCTTTCTTTACCAAGGAAGAAATGTCAGCCCATTGTCAAGCTGTAAGGTCCCAATGGAGGCTGTCCTTTCTGCTGCCTGAGTTCAGTGCTAATTTCTGATGAACTCTACGGTCTTCTGAAGGAGAATAAATGCGTCAGTTGACAAAGCATTTAAGCTGGTCATACTTGGATCGAATATTAGATATTTCCTGCTGAACATTCATACAAAAAACATTTACATCAGAACATTTGATAATGCCATCAGAGACTTGACAAATTTTGTTTTAAAAATTTTGGAATATTGTTTGGTTTTAACATTCAATTTTGGAATGAATGGAGTTTCCCAAACGAAAACCCCATTCACTGTTAGAATTTTGTTTGAGAAACGTTTTTCATCTTGCTCCTTGTCTGTCTTTTCTAGAGTGCAGTGCTTACCTTAATATCTCTGTGCATCTTTCCCTGATTATGAAGATAAGCCAGACCCTGTGAGGGAAAAATAAAAGGTTACAGATTTATATTTCCACTTTTATGTATGAGAAGCAGAAATTAGTGCATATATTACATCCCTTCCTGCTGGCAACCCATTCAGATGGGCTGTAATATTCACAAATAGACAGCCACTATCTTATGATATAAAATCATGATTGATAGAGAATCATGAGAAAATAAGGCATTCAGAAGTTAAATTATATCAAGAAACTATCAAGAAATAAATTAACAAAAGGCATTAAAATAACTCACCCATCTTACTGAAAAGAGCCTTAAAAGCCTTAGTCTCAGCTTCTGCATAAGCCTGACCTTTCCATATTGGTGTATAACCATCTATATGTGTACCTGTCTGTTTTACATGCTCACCTGGAGGGTCTCTCTACACACATATGCAACCTGAAGCTCAGACAAGGCTCCTGTGACTGTGGGAATAAAAAAGAATTGACATTATTGAAGAAGTTATTGATGCCTGAAATACCCCTAGTAATGACGTTTAGAGCATAAGTGATGATTAATCCTTAAAAGCTAGGCATATTATTGGGTGTGAAGCTGCACAACTGTGTTTCACAAGCAGTATTGCAGTGGCAGGAGAACAGTAACAGTCTCTGGTGCTACAATGGGCCATTGGCTATGATAACTACAAGCCATTGTCAAAGGTTTGCTATAAAATGTCTTTACCTTGATATATGTCTTGAAGGGAGCCACCACCACAGAACTCCATGCAAATCCACAACTTATTAGTCCTGCATATAAAGTATACAATAAAGTCAGTTATTGGACATTGTGCTAAAATTGGGGCTGAGACAGCCAACTGGCAATAAACCTGTCCCAAATGCCTCCCGTCACCACCACCATCGGGTCAGCAATCAAGTGTACATGTTGATATGGTGTTCTGGCAGGGCAGGTGTCGGAGAATGTTTGATTGCACTTACATCCTATCCTCCCCCTGTGTTTATGAATGCCCTCTTACAGCCCCAAGAAGATCATCCACTCAGGAGATGTCTTTGCATTAAAGCCCAACTCCAGGCACATATGTTTTAGATTTGGATAGAGTAGGGAAGACTTACATTTATTTTCACTGTCAGGTTTTTATCTATGTCTGTGACCCCTTTAGGGAGATTTCCCAAGAACAAAAAAGAAAAAGTCTTGGGCTCAGATGGGCAGATCTCACATTACAAACTGATTATAATTTGTACTTTCATTATACTAACAACTATGTAATTGAAGGATTTATTTAATTTTATTTAAATTCAATAAATTGTTTAGATAGGCCCTCATACTACCAATCCCCATAATAATATTAAGTCAGCAGATCACTCTGTAATTTAAGAGAGACAGACACAAGCTCCTAATCTGGTCTTATTATCCAGCAGAGAGATATCATGTAACCAGAGTCGGTTCAGGTGAAAAGGGGAAATTGCCTTAGCAAGGCTTGGTTCTTACCTCATATAGCTTCCATAATACGCTACTATGTTTTTGTGAGCACAGCTCTTCAGCATTAGAACTTCTTTTTGAATTACGGAGAAGTCTTCATCTGTCACATAAACAGAAATATTATTCAGCCTAGACCAGCAATCATCATGTTAGGCTTGCCGACTATAGTCAAATTGTATTTATGATATTCAGCAAGGCTCTGTCATTTTTTTGATAATTGTTTCAAGCAATTCATAGAAGTTACCTTATATATCCCGGAAGCAAAAGGGCTTAAAGAGGAACTTTACACCATGCTGCAAATAACTTACCGTAGACGGGATAATGTGAAGTGGTGGATAATGTTGATGCTACTAATGTTTATGTAGCGCTGAATATGTGACTAGCTCAACTGTTCTAATGAAAGAAATGCTGATCTGGTTTACTGTAATGTGAATATCTTCATTTTATTGTGTCATGCTTGTTCCATGTTCCATGTCCATGCACATTGGATGCAACACTTACAGTTGTACTATAATGTGGGCGGCTGCCCTTCTGTACTGTTTGGAAATTCTTTTTTGCTGTTTATCAATAAAGAATTTGAACTAGTAGCAAAAGAAAAAAAAGGAACTTTACCCTTATCTGAAAAATGCCAACAAAGGCACCTTTATAAATGTTTAGTAAGTGCAATCTACAAATAGATACTTCTAGATAATTGCCCTTTTTTTATTCTTTCCATACTTTATTTGTCTTCTCCCCATTTTTCTCACAGTGGTCATTTTTTACTAAGGGCAGATAATTCCACCTCCCTTTACTTCCTGGAACTCTGGCACAAGTGATTAGGACAAGTGACTAGGGCACGTGACCACAAACATCATCTCAGGGGGAAAAATACATTTCTCTGAGATCTCAAAAGATTTTGCAGTTTACAGATTAGATTTTCCAGCAATACACTGTAATGTAACCTTCCCAAGATGCATTTCTTAGTCATGGGCGACATCACTAATGCCTTAGATGACCAAGAAGTGGAAAAACAGGTATTATAAGTAAAAGGAAAGGAAATTGTGTTTCTTTAAGTAATAAATGTAAGATGATTTCAAATCAGCAGTGAAAGGGGGTAAAGGTCCACTGTAAGTATCCTTCCTGTAAGTGGGTGGCGCTGCAGTTTACTCTCTATACAAATGACTGCGTTGTCACTCTTTGCTTTACACCACAGTAAACATGGCTAGGACCACTGATGGTAACAAGTAACGTGCCCTAGCTTGTAAATCAATGGATAGCCACATGTATGACCTGCCCATCGACCATGGCGGACCGAATCCCAAAAGATGTTAGCTCACTGTGGTAGATGCAGCAGCTAGCACAGCTCTCAGTAATGATATGCTGGCTCTGCATAACTTCTGCTATGATTGCGGTCGTAGCAGAGGTGTGATTCTTATACTAAAAATTAGTAAAATTGTACGTTCATGGGGTTTCCTGCCAGATGTGTAAATGGGCACAAGCATACTTTAGTTACATTATCTACATGGGCTTCTGCGCTCGATTAATCTAAGAAAAACAGGGTGTTACTCTTCCTGATGAGCTTCCTGATGAAGTCAATTAGACGTAATGCGTAGAAGCTGAGTCAGTGACGTCAGAACGCCTGGAGGAAAAGAGGAGGACAGATCTAACATCCAGGAATGAGATTCTGATACGCGATTTTATTCATTTTATGTGAGTGTAATTTTTTTTAAATAAAATAATTTCATGCATACGGGGTGCGCTATGATTTTCACTTCTGTCTTTGAGAGATCTTTTTTGGGCTGTCGGTAGAGGAGAAAACCGTTAAGATCAAGATTGGTCTCATCTGAAGGAAGGAAGATCACAGCTACAAACAGCGTGAGGAAGGAGTTTTACCCTATAAGAAGCGCTTTGAGACCCAAGGGTCTGAACACGGAGGTGAGAGGCTTATTTAACAGAGCACTGTTTTTTTATGAGCATTTCAGCAAAAAATACACAAGAAATTACAAGATTGGGCAGAGTGACGCACAAAGAAAAAATAAGACAACACTTTTTTTTTTGAGAGCTGCCTGCTTTTAATGAATTTATTTTTCTCTCTCACAGTAGTATTGTTCACTATAATATTTGGTTGTTGCACATATTTATTTACTTGTTGGGTGATAGCGCCGTTTCACATATTTGAATGATACTTTAGTTACACATTAACTTTGTTTATCACTGTGGTCAAAAGCGATCAGCATCACATGGGTATGAAGTTCAGATCAGTTTTGAGCGAAACCACAAGTTGCATGGTGTTGCTGGTAAATGGTCAGCAATTTCCAATACTGATTGCTAGACAAAAGTCAAACAAGGTGTCATGCATTTATCAAGGAACACATGTGAGGGTCAGTTTGACCAATAACATCATCTTTGTATTTATTCAAACAACATCAGAGCTTTAAGACTAAATCCATACATTCATGACCCCAAATGAAGAAAAGTCATACAATTTCAAAGATAAATTAATAAGTAATGTTGTTCTGGTATTAACCCTAACAGGTTAAATTGGCCACAACATATTAGGAGGGTTAAGTTTAATTATTTATAAACTCACACAGTATGTTTGATTTCTTTTCAATTTCTTTTCTCTACTATAGATAATTCAGATGGAGCCATAAAGAGGGAAGGGGGAGGACTCAATGTTCTGACTCATTCACTTGAGTGTATAAATTCCAGCTTAAGCTATTAAAGTGTATGTCTAGTCAAAAACTTCTAATTTTGGATAGAGCAAGGAAGGTTTGGAGCTCCTGTCTGGTTTCTGCAGCTATCTGGGGGAACATTACAGACATTTTCTCTCACTTCCTGTCCAGCTGACATTGTTTTACCAGAAAAGAAATGAGGAGACTCTCCAACAGCAAACAAAGACATAAATAAAAGAACTCACAGGGGTTCTACACTTCCCCTACTTTACTAAAGAAAGACCTTTCTATTTTTATCTGTGTTGAGGAGAATTGAGGGGGAATTTCTCAAACAGAGCCCCAGATAGAAGTGCAAAAAAAGCACACAGTGGTTCTAATCATTTCCCTTGGTAAATTGTGACTGAACATGCACTTTAAACTCTGTGAAGAAGCGTTTATTTTCCTCAAAGGAGCTCAGGAGATAAGGAAAATATGAAAAGGAGCCTGAAGCTCCAATGGCTGGTTGGATAGAAAACTACATAATAGCCATATGAAATATTACTTATTCACTTGCCTAAATTATATTTATTTATGTATTTTGTATTTATATATTTTAGCCCTGAATATTAAAACGAAGAAAGGAAAGATACAAAACTGCTATACATTGCTTTCAACAAGCTACTTCATAAAAATCCGATATTTCAGTCATGCAGATGCTGTGAAATTAGAAGATATGTGTTCCTTTGAGAAACTCACATGCCCAGAGTGGGTTAAAGCATTCTCTGCAAATCTGTATTATTATACTTTATGGTTTGTGCCATAAAAACAATGCAGTACGTGCTGCTACATTTCTGAGATCTTTTTGCTGCTGAAAACCTCTTCTGCACCCATTCCCAGCCTTATGCTGGGAGACAGGGTAGTGGTTTTTGGTGTTACTGAGCACTGTTGACTGCAAAGCAGAACAATACAGAGGTCATCTCTCAATTTCCCGAGGTGAGACCATGTTTGAACTGATGAGGGGAGAACAGATCTAAACAGACAAGTGGAAACCAAGTCTAAACAGATAAATGGAGACCAAGTCTAAACAGATAAGGCGGAAACCAGGGTCAAGCAGAGGAGATGTCTTCAGAATCCATACCAACATTGTTGTTATGATCTTCCTGTAGTAGTTCATTGTTCTCCTCTACAATGAGCTCTCAATGCTTATTCTGCATCCTTCATAGTATATTAAAAGAAAATTCCAACAGGAAGGCCTATTCCTAGTGGCTTAATAAGTGGATAGATGTTGAAAAAGTACAAAGAAAACACTGTGTGATTCTTCCCGTTATGTAAACATTTAATGTCAATTTTTCATCAATAGGCAGTTCATTTTATTTTTTTACTTGTGGTAATAAAAGACAGCCATACATATCTGCCAATGATGATATAAAGATCAGTCAATCATTCTTAGTACAGTACTAACTGGAAGGATCCTGTAATTGTTCTGTGGATTCTGTAAACTGTTCAGGAAGGATTTGCAGCTTAGCTAAAAGCCACAAAAATACATTCATATCATATGCTACACTAAGGCTACATTCGTTTGTTTTTAGCCAATGAAAAGCTAGTTACTAGAAGGAGGAGAAGACTATTGTTAAGCATACAATCACATGAAAAACATGTTATACCCACAAGATGCTGCCAGTCTTGTCTGTTGGGTTAAATGATGTTCAGCATCATTCAGTCCACATCCTGTAAGTCCAAGACATCATGGACACAAACCCAGGTGAACATCACACACTGGCCTGGGCTCATAGTACTCCTGGACAGAATGTAACCCAAGCACCATTATGTAAAAAACTGTGCTATCCCAGGAGCAAGCACTACCCCACCACTGCCAAGGAAGGAGAGGAAGGATGCATAATGTCATCGGACCAGACAGAAGACTGCAGGAAAAAAGGTATGTTTAATAGAATTTAAAAACTTCAGAGAGGTAGGTGGAGGATGGGAGAAAAAGTGGAGTACAGAATCAAAAAATACAATAACTTAATCATTACAAATATGTTCCCAGTAAAACCACAATAAGGTTACTTTATACTTAATCTGTGCCAATAAATGAAACATGGACAGTTTACACATCAGAGGATTATTCAAAAGACCAAAAGATCTTATTTTTCTTATATTAAGATGTACAAGCAGATATTTTGTCTGATAAATAGTGATGTGGGCCCATATCACACAGTGGCAACTTGAGCTAAAGGGCACTGTCCCCACATAACCTCTGCAGAGCTGCAGTCAATGCAAGCTTAGGCTAGAAGAAGTGCCTGCTAATATGGGACAGTCAGAAGTGTAGAGCTGGGTGGAGATCAGGAGAACAAAACCTGATAAGTAAGTCATCTGAACCACAAGGAAGTCACTTTAGAATGTCTAACATTTGTATTAGCACCACTAGATCATCTATTTGAGTAATTAACATGTGCCGTGCTGAAGGATTGTGTGTGCCGTGTCTGTTGTTTCATTTGTGGGTCATGCTTTTAAAATGTATTTTCTGCATTTGTGTAAGAAAAAAATACAGTTGGCATTTGAAGCTAGGAGGCACCATATGATGTTACTTTCTATTAGCAGGAATCCCACCATGGCATTAATGCAGAACAATCTTGCAGCCCAGCGATTATTACATTTGTATCATTTTAATGGCAAAATATCAAAGTTCTACAATGGACGAAGCACACTAGTTAAAGGTAAAAGAAGTAATCCACCACGACATTCTGGGCCATTCCAAATCGAATGGCACCATACTGGAACACTCTTCACATAAGCGTACATTTCCTCCCTGCTAGGAGATTCCAGACCTCTTATACTGTTACATAACATCATATTCTACAACATGTGCATTTTACCACTTTCTCAAACAATATCATATATTCTAATTTGTGCACAAAGTAGTTGTTTTCCAAATTCATAATTCATTTGTATAATTTTGCCTTGCTTTTGGCTTTACGTCTCTTTTGGGTCAGAGGAGTACATTAGTAATACATTACTAAAATGTTTTCGTTTTTATTGGAGTTGGTGACCCAGTTGAGGAGATTCAACTCTATATTTATATGAAAGTGAGGGGAAATCCATAATTTTAGAATTGTCCCGAGAGCAAGAGGTAGGAGAAAATCTGTCAATGGGACAACTGTCCCAGGGACAACTCATTTCCTTTAACTCCCTAATGCGTCTTTGGAACAGGAAGTGAAGGGAAATTTCCCTCCTACACACAGATGGTAAACAAATAACCTGGCAGGGGTGATGACCCTTCACTACTCTACCCATAACAAACAAAAAAAGGGTATTAATACACTTTAAGCCTTTTTACTGTGGACCTATCTTTCTTCTACAAAATGGCTTGTGGTCTTCATGGTATATGGTGCCGCAACAGCACATGTGCAGTAGTGACAGAAGCTGACATCACACCAAATATGACTGAGATGACATGCACATAACTGGTTGATAGCACACTCTTAAGAAGTTACTGCATATGCATGGGTCATCACTAGTATATTTGGCATATTGCCAGCCAACCCCATGCATGCTCAGTGGATAAAAACCACCAGCAAAATGGTGGTGATGACTCATATGCCACTAGCACAACAACTTGAAAGTTGGCTCTTGACCAGGGATGCATGATCATATTGCCTGCTGTTTTTATTCACAGTACATGTCTAGGATTGGCTGGAATCATACCAACATAACTGCCAACAGCTTCTATGCACTGTGCTTGCATTTGATCAGCCTACATCACACTGCTCTGTACTGCACATGCGAGGGCACTCGCCGCCATATTGCAGCCAGAGATTACAATCCAACTGGATGCTGAGATAAATGTATACCAACTATTAAGCATCCGTGGATTAGTAATTGTATTTATGACTGTATTATCCTGCTGCTTCGCATGCAGCTATTGCTATGGAATCCTGTGATGTTAGTCATGGGGGAAAATGTAAAATTCAATTTATATACCATCTCAAGGTAAAATTTTACATTCAAAAGCACACAAACTGTTACTTTTCTGCTTTACATTGTATTCTGTCACTTGGCTTTTGTTGACTTGCACATCTTTATTTGCACCTGTAACTAAGAGGGAAATTAAGATAACACCATTTTACTTCTGTGTTCTTCATTTACAATAAGAATAGGACAAGCAAGGCTTCTTTGCAGTTTTGGTAGAGGATCCCAGTTCCGCTTTAAGATTTGCCGCTATATAGGACAGCAGGGGGACATAAAGCTAAACTCCAGCCAGCTAATAAAAATTTCCATATGGTAGCCCTACTACTACTTCCCGAATACAGTAAGGTTATGTTAATTTAGTCCATCGGACATGTAATAGACAGAACTACTTATTCTTTGTTCTAGCAGGTGTCCTCAATACCGGATAATCATTCCTCCAAAGTCAATCCTTTTCACCAGTCATGCAGCCACCCCCTATCTCACACCATCATGTGCAATGCAAGTTCAGTGGACCGGCTTTGTACGTGAGGACACTGAGGGCCATCCACAATTCTGGGCTGGAGTAGGAAAGGAGAAGAGTGCTGGCTGCCAGGGTGGTGAGGAATAATGTGAGAATATTCCCTACAGCAGGTGTGTCAAACTCATATAAAATAGGGGGCCAAATAGAGAGGACTAGTCGGGGTATTCACAAAAGGGTGAAGAGTGTGGAGAAGGCTATTTTGGTCTAGATGAACAATCTAGACCAAAATAGCTAATTTGGAAACATTCTATAATTCAGCTCACTTCCCACTTCAGTTATGTTGTCCTAGATTGTTCACTCTACTGCCTTCTACAAACTCTTCACCCTTTTGTGAATAACCCTGTAAATCTTCAAGAGAGCTAAATTATGTTGACTGTAGACAACATTATGTCTACTTAGGGCCTACCTAATTTCATAAAAATATTATAACACACACATCCTTTTCCTAGACTTCAGGTTAGGCCTTAAGACCCATACCTGTCATCCATCTGTAGAGAAAAGTAAACACACATAAAAAAAGTGAAAGGTGCACAGACAAGCAGAGAAAAATAAATAGCTTCCAATGTGCAAAGGGAAGTTAGAAG